AATAAAGGTTTTCCCGCAGCCTTGATTTTATAAAGTATCCATCACAATTCAGAACAGACCATGAAATGACAAAGCATACAGTTTAAACACTTATGGTCAAGAACATGTTTTTGAGTTATCTTGAAGCAATCTAAACTGGGGACACACAAACACGCCAGATGTTCCTTCCTACCTCTCCTTTGTACTTGAACAAACCCAAATGAAAGGCACAGATCAGCCTACGGTCTCCCAGCTGTTGAGGTCTGATTAATGCAGAGGGGAGCATTTGCTTCCCATTTGCCTTATGAATAACCCCTTTAGAAGGGAGGAAAGCAAATGAATCTAAACAGAGCGATGTTGCACATACACTGGACCTTAAAGATCTAAAGGAAATTGGTTGTTACATTATTGTGTTTGGGGCAGTCCCCACGTCCCATAATTACTAATTCCTCGGATCAAATTGTTTAGATATAGCACACAAAAATCTCTAGAAACGGACACCCTTTAACAATAATGCAGTTGACAGGCTGAACAAAAGAAGGAGCTTCTGAATGTGCGTATGTTAAGAGATGGCACACTGAGGCGGACCCAGATGGAAAACAGCCCTTGGACGGGTTAACAAAAGAACAGCCCACTCCTGCAAAGAGGCTGCAGGGCTCACGCTAATCAGCTGTTAACAATTCCACACGCAACTTCCCTAAAAGGCATTTGCATTGGGATAATCTGTGTTCAGCACGGTCGCAGTTATTTAAAACGGTATTATATTTCTGAATTTTGTCTTGCTTGCCCATGGCTTTAGCAGAGGATCTTTACAGAATGTAATTCAGCTAATGAGGTGGCTTTTTAACGGAACCGGCTGACAGGTTCCATATCTGCAGAGGCAGCTTGAAGCTGCGCCCAGCCTCTCAGCTTCCCAAGAGGCTTTTCAAAATTCAATAAATAACATCTGTAGGCGATGTTGGGTGCAGACCTAGCAGAGTGCGTCATAACACTGAGCTGGCAGAACAAAGAAACCATGACGACTGCCAAGTCTCTATGGCAACCGCGGCGAAGCTTGGAGAGGATAATAGCACATCAATCACTGTCCCAAAGAACTTCATTATCAGCAAGAAAAAAACCCTTTAGAATCTGTTTAGTGTGTAATGTAGGCTTACTCACCTCAAAGCCTTGCTCTCTAGCAAAGGAGGCAGCTTCCTGAAATAATAATAACAATAAAAAGCAGTAGTTAATTATAAAGTGCTAGATAATAAAGAAATAACATATTTGGAAGCTGCTTCAGGCAGTTTCCTTTTACAGAATTATCTCAGTATGTCCACATGCAAACCGTTCAGTTACTTGCACTGAAAAGACCCCCTGATGTGACAAAGACGTGTCAACACCTTTCACAAATGATGGAAGAAAAACGCAGGTTTTCCCCTTCACAGGCAACATAAGGACGGACACTTTAACCAAAGAGGATTTACCACATTTATCATGACTTACTCATGCCAATGATGCTTCCCAAAGACTGCAGCACTGCAGCCCACAACCTAGGCATTTGTGTTAGACGCAACCTGAGGTTGCAATTCTGGCTCAAATCAACTCTACCTGATATAGTCTGGAGTCCACAATATGATGTTGTATCATCTTTATTGCATGAATTTGGCGGATAGCAACAATGGTGGGGGAATGACCACATGATGAAAACACAAATCAGGGAAGATGACCTTTCATGTCCAAGTATCTGCAGCTGTGGTCCAGTACAATGTGTACCCGCTCAAAGCTTCAAACTCATACGGCAGAGAGAAAACCCAATGTAGATAACCCAGAGTCAAAGATAAAACCATACATAGAAAAGTACTGTTGTTGAATAGTTAAACATCCAATAGTGATGGCAGTTGCAACAAATTTAGCAACTCTTCTAGAGATAACCAGTGACCTGTCAGATTAAAGGAAGAGCTGGTATGAGAGCAGGCTCCTAGATTGCCTTGTCATGTAGAAGGAACTCTGTGGGTGTACACAAGGGACTGTTTCTAGAGCAGAATCAAAGTCTCTCTTATGCAGCAAAACTATTAAATCTTCCTTCTAGCAACAAAGATAGTGAAAAGCTGCAGCAGATGATGGCAAAAGCTCACCTGTGGGATGGGGAAGAAATGTTTGCCAGATACCTGACATGAGCAAATGGTCCCCGAAGCAGGCCTGCTTCAAACCAGGCTGGTGTGTAACAAACTGTATCAGCATTAAAGAGGATTTTAGAATCAAGCTTCCCTGAAATTCTATTTCTTTGACTCCACAATTTTAGTAAATAAATTGATTCTAAGGGGTGATGACTTTAATATTTATTCTTAATCAAAACAATAATAGTGTATTTCAAAAATTGATCTGGTGTGACCTGATAACTATTTCACAGATTTCATGTTAAATAACTGATTATGTTATTTAAATAAAATACATCCAGCCATTAATTGGAGAATAAAATTCTAATGTCTTAATCTCAGTTTTAGATGACTGAATTTAAAGAGCATCACTGGAACAGTGAAGGATGATGATTTATTTAATTGAGTCCAATGAGAGGCTATGTTTTTAAATAGCAACAAAGGCCAGAATGAATTGTAAGAATTTCATTTCTTAAACTATTTTAATGTGAAATATTCTAGAATAATGGGGGGGGAGGGGGAGGCACAAAATGGCAACATGGATTTATTTGAACCCTGGACAAACCATTGTATTCTGGAAGCTCTGCCCAAATGTTTTGAGTCAACCATGGTTTGGCAGAAATGAAAAGTGGAGCGTAAGTAAGGCCGACGAAATGCAAATTGCTTTCTATCTCCTCTTGGTAGCAAGCCAGCATGCCCCCATCTTCTGAGTCCCCTCCCTTCTCTCCATCTCATCAGCTACCTCTGAGGTCCCAGCATGGTGTTGCCTATCAGCCAGGGTGCCCTGATCTTCTCAGCCCCCTTCCCTCAGCAACCACTCATGTCCTACCAGTTGGCTGGCTCATCCTTCCTCCTGCACTGGTGCAGAAGAGTGTTGACTATGTTTTAGAATGCACCTGCGATGGAATGGAATTATGAAGGCCAGGCTCAGGGAGATAAGCATTTTCTTAGCTCGCCGGAGTGTGGGAACTACAAGAGGATGAG